CAAGATTTTAGCCTTCTAGCTTCTCAGATCCTCGAGTTATGAACTGACCCCAAAAAAACTTTGGGGAGCCGTACGTGGGTTCCACGCGGGGTATGGCGCCAATTTTGGGGATTGGGGCCCGTACGTGCATGTAGATTAAGTCCCCAAAATTTCAGCCTTGTAGCTTTTGTAGGTCTTGAGATGAAAAACCGAGACAGACGCACACACGGACACACAGACACACAGACACACACGCACACAGGCAACCTCTCGTCAATATGCGTTTTTCGCATTGCATTGCTGCAAAAAAACGCATAAAAAAGGAAATACGGAATGGAACATAAAAATAGTCAACAATCTGACTTTAGTTAACCCCAGCTACCGAAAGGTTTCCGGCGATGTATCTGATGGTCAGCTTCCTGTCGGAACGGGGAGCTTATTCCTCTGCTTTCTTCGTCTGCGCTTTTCGAAGAGAAATGCTAAATTGCATTTCCTTTCCTATTTCTGTGATCCTGCAGCATTTCGTTGTCGACCCTCCGAGCTTCCCCCGCGACAATCATCATCGACCGGAGGAGATATGCGAGGAGTGAATCAGAGGTAGTTGCTTCCGTGTTCACGCCAGTGGTGCAGTGAAGTGCTACTGGAAGTTCCAGTCAAAATCGTGTTCTAGTAGACAGTTTTGCGCATTTTAGAATCAGTTGAAATCGAATGTCTAATGCATCGTGCGCAGTTCTTTCTGGCCCGAGGCTGTGAGAAAGATGTCCAGTTGGCATTGAGGAAATCGCTCTGGACAACTGACCCGTTCGTTGAGAAGTTACTCGCTGAAGCCTTTCGTCGAGCGCCAGTTGTAATTTTGATTTTTCTGTCAAAGAAAGCGGATCACTTTGCTGGTACGTGCTTTTTTCTTTTTCGTTTTGCTCTAAAAACTGTGAGAAATGGAACAAAATTTGCTTCTGCTAGTTTATTTGGCGTTTGAACTCGTGGCATTTTTGAAAATGAGTGGATGTGGCCGTGAATTTGTGTCTTCAAGAAAAAAAGCGACCCTCGAACGCGCTTCCAGTTAGTAGAACCGTCGAGCACATATTTATGATATCTTGTTAAAAAGGCCTGGATAGTGCAATTGGTGGCTTGAGGCATGTGCGCAACATCGATACCTAACGCTGAGATGTCTTTGGTGTATTCTGAGTATCTGTTATTGTCTTTGGTGTATTCTGATGAGGTTGCTTACAGCCTTCAGATTACCAGATGAGTCAGAACACGTTGCTTTTCAGGTTTTGCTCAGATGTGTTCGGAGGCGTTGTACAAAGGCCAGCCGGCAATGAGATGGGTGGATTTCAAAGGCGGTGGCAACATCAAGCTGCAGTGG